CTTTCATATGAACTGTCCATATCCTCTCCAAACAAATAAGGGATTTTTAATAATCATTTCAACTTCCAGTCGAATTGGTTTCTTGGGTCAATTGGTCTGAATTTTCTTTAAACAGTAATCCGGTTAATGATATTACTGTCTGATGAAAAATATTCACCTATTCTTCTGTTATTGATGAAAAATATCAACATTTACTGTCCTTCATGACAGAGCATAAACAAGCATAACTATGTTGGAAGAACCACTAAACAAATAATTGTTCTACGAAAATCCTAAGCCCTTGGAAATGAAATGGTCAGCAACTTGCTAATACAAATTTGTAAAGGTACTGGTCAAAATTTCTGAACAAGCTGCTACAAACTGCTCCTCAAATTGATCAGAGAAACCGTTACACTACATTTGCCTGAACTAGTTTATTTTCTTGGTGTTGCTGAAGCAAGATCAAATAACTGATCAATGTTGTTGATTGAAATTATGCTTCTGACTGAAAGAGATTAATTCAACCTTCACATCAGACATCTTGTAACAAGATAACATTCTGTTCAAGTCTAAAGGAGATAAGATACCAAGGGCAGACAATTTGGTCACAGCCAACTTCAGTCTCACTTTCATTCAACTTCCACATCAAGTATCTTGTAACAAGGTAATATTCTGTAGAGGCCTTGTAGAGACATCATGGGCAGACATGTTGGTCATAGCCAGCTTGAGACACATTTTCATTCAAACTTCACATCAAGTATCTTGTAACACTGAGAGAGTAAGTTTGGTTATACGCCACTTTTAGCAATATTCCAGCAATATCATGGCGGGGACACAAGAAATGGGCTTCACACATTGTACCATTGTGGGGAATCAAACCCGGGTCTTCAGCGTGACGAGCGGACACTTTAACCATTAGGCTACCCCACAGCCCCACATCTTATAACAAGGTAATATTCTGCCCAGGCCTTGTAGTGAGGGAGTGAGTGAGTTTAGTTTTACGCCACACTCAGCAATATTCCAGCTATATGGCGGCGGTCTGTAAATAATCGAGACTGGTGCATGAGCACCAATCTGCGCAATTGGGAACCGATGACATGTGTCAACCAAGCCAGCAAGCCTGACCACCCGATCCCGTTAGTCGCATCTTACGACAAGCATAGTCGCCTTTTGTGGCAAGCATCAGTTGCTGAAGACCTATTCTACCCCGTATCTTCATGGGTCAGGCCTTGTAGAGACATCAGGGGCAGACATTTTGGTCATAACCAGCTTGAGAGACACTTCCATTCAACCTTCACATTCATCTTGTAACATCAGATATTGTACCCACGCCTTGACAAGTTAATATTGATAAACATACTGGAAACATCCAACACTACCACAGCTCCTCTCAGACCAGGGGTCAAGTAAAATACAGGGCTCCAGATAAAAGCCGTATCGGCGTATGTACGGATAAAAAATAAGCACGATACGATAGGAAATAATTTTGGAAACGTAGCAGATACGCACCACAGCAATGATGTACAGTCTTAGAATCATTTACAGAAGTATTTATCTGAAAAAGTATTGTTTTATTGTTTATTGACCTGTTTACACAAGAGTAGCAATGTTGTGGTGCATATATGAAACGAAACACAAGATTACTGATACTCCATTCAGTACTCTAAATGTACTCTTAAGTTGTTCCAGTACTCCTATATTGAAAAACTAAGGCGTATGTACTCCTGAAGTTGAAAAATTCTCTGAAGCCCTGAAAATAACTACCTATTGGGAGAAAACAACAGGTCTGACAGGACAGTTAAAAGTCTTGGCCCGTGTCTATACCTCCAATACCCATTGCACAAACTGGCTTCATACAATTTGTAGAACTGGGCCAACTTATGTTTAACCAAAGGGATCAGCTGGATTTGTCCAAGCAACATAACAACGGTAACCTTCGAATCAGGTCCTTCAGAGGTGGTAGCAATGACCTACAAACCTCCTGCCACGTCTGCATGTACAACCAATGACTCTAAAACCCAAAGCTCAACACCAATAAAGACACCAAGTGATCGGCATCAAAGTGGCCCAAGGAAATGGCACCTCGCCTCACAAGAAGGGCCACAGTCAAGTCTGTCTCATCTTATCTTACAATCAAGTGGCACATTACTCCATCGTAACTGGCCTTAAATGGAAGCACACTCTAATAATACATCCAGGGAGGCAACAACACGAGGGAAATCATCCGCAACAACCGCCAGTGACTGAAGACTATCTGTGATGGAGTTGAGGTCTACGTTTTTCAAAGGCTAGAGTGGTTTGTTTCTTCATTGCCATTAGAGTCTGAGACTTCTGAGTTCAGAGTTTTTGTCTCAGTTTCATTAATTTACAGTTGATATTTAGTCTTTGTATGTACTGACTACTATTGCTCCAGATGACTCACTCGGCTTTGGAATAATCAATACTGCTATAGGTGGTTGGAGAATGTTTTTTGCAGTACTTTATGGCTTGGCTGAGTGAGTGAGTGAGTGAGTGAGTGAGTGAGTGAGTGAGTGAGTGAGTGAGTGAGGAGTGAGTGAGTGAGTGAGTGAGTGAGTGAGTGAGTGAGTGAGTGAGGAGTGAGTGAGGGAGTGAGTGAGTGAGTGAGTGAGTGAGTGAGTGAGTGAGTGAGTGAGGAGTGACCGAGTGTTTAAAGCTGATGTTAGCAATATTTCAGCAGCATCAGAGAATGGGGTACCAGAAACAATCCACATAGGGAATCAAACCCATGTCTTCAGTATAATGAACAACTTAACCACTAACATAAACTTAAGACTTACATGATTCATAACAGAATTTTGGTTATTTGGTCCACTTACATACACAAAGAACATGCTATCCAATATTACACACCTTGGGATGATATTGTCTTTACAATAGATAGCTGTTTATTTTTCATATCAACCTCTTGTGACGCCATCAGAGGTTGCTTCTATAATACCACCCTAGGGAGATATGGCATTAAAACCCAGATAACATTAACTGCGGTTTGTAAGTCAAACAACAACTAATCGCGTGGTTAATATGTAAAAGAACACCCTCACTCGGCTCGGTCGTTCATTTTACATGAGTTGCTATTTACTACATCTCCAAAGAAATAAACCTTCTTCCCTTATATAAAACAAAGATAACTTATCATGTGGTAAATGACTTCATAACACACTATTCACTTACCAACATTCATAGTTTTCATGATATAAAAAGGAATTTAGCACAAGTCAATTTGCATTCCTGTCAAATTGAAACAAGACTGATAAAACAACACTTTACTCATCCCCTGATTCAAGTTTACATATCTAATACAATCTAACAATAAAAGTGGACCCAAATAACACAATGTCTCCTTTCACACAAGACACTAATTACCCAACCAATTACACTGTCTAGACCGACACTGGAAATAACATTAGATCATGAGGTTTGCATCCCATAAAATTTGTTCTATGATTTTGAAAAGATTTGGCTCATTCCATCTACCTTCAAGCTGGAAATGATCAACATATTTCCTGGGCTGATGTGAATACTTAAGGTATCATTATGCTAATGACGGACAAGGAATCTGAAATGGTTGGCCAGAGAACCCATTTGGCTTTGAAATAGTCTTCTGTTTTTTTCAAGAGTGACTGACCTATCAATCGGAACCTATTTGCTTATAACGAATTTGGTATTACATCTGTTTATTTTGTTGATAGAATAATCTTTCTGAAAAAGTCGGATTTGGAATTCCTTGTAAATGTCTACTGTATGATGTTGAGCTAGCCTGACAACCCAGAGCATTCAGTTACATCTTACAACAGCAAGCTTTTGCTGCTTGGATGGAGTGAGTGAGTGAGTGAGTGAGTGAGTGAGTGAGTGAGTGAGTGAGTGAGTGAGTGAGTGAGTGAGTGAGTGAGTGAGTGAGAGTGAGAGAGTGAGTGAGTGAGTGAGTGAGTGAGTGAGTGAGTGAGTGAGTGAGTGAGTGAGTGAGTGAGTGAGTGTGTGAGTGAGTGAGTGAGTTTACTTTCAAGCTTTTAGCAATATTCCAGCAATATCATAGCAGGGTACACCAGAAATGTGGAGAAACAGACCTGGGTCTTCAGCGTGATGAGCAAACACTTAAACCACTAGGCTAACCCATCGCCCCTTGCTGCTGTGTCATTACAGAATCCTAACAGGGCAAGTTTTGGTAAAATGATATATAAAACTATGGGATATAAGAATACTACTTGTGTTATCATTAGCAGATCATAATCTTCAGATTAGAGTTACTTCCCTTTGGATGGAGGGATGGATGATTAACATTGAGTAGTAAAGAGTTCTCGAACTTGAGCCTCGTGAGACAACCAAATACAATACCAACACACACACGCACACACGGGACACGGACACACACATGCACAACAGATACAGGAATTGTTGGTTGTCAAATTGAACATGAAGCATGACAAGACAATATCCTAAACCAGTTCTGACTTGGGCCATTGAACCAGAACCTGAAATAGTGAGTATAGAGTAGCCATGCTGTCAGCCGGTGATTTCGCAGATGCTGACCCAGGTACTAATAGTTAACTACTGGACTTCCATTAGACACAGCTGAATGCTGAATACCAAATTAGACACCTGGCCCCCAAAAGTTTTCTCTCATAGTTGCGGGTATAAAAAAAGATTGTTTTACCACCCAACCCAACTCTAATTTTAAAATTAACAAAAATATGGATTTAATTCAGTCCATGTCCAAAACCAGATGCTGTGACTGACACGTCCAATTTAAGATCAAGCTTGATAATCTGTTGACAAAGGCAATTAAACACAAATGGTACTATTCCCCTCATAAATCTTAAGACCATATTAAAGCTGGAACTGGCTGTCAAACTGACAGTGACTTTGGGCAATATGTCATAATCCGACATCATGGCTACCCTTTGATTACACAATCAGCCACTTGTTTAGTATTATCACCTCGCAACTGGCTTGCAAGGGCAGATAATCCATGATTCATCATAGCTTTCTAGATTAATACCTACTTGGTACGTCTTTTTGGGGCAAGAACTTGAATGACACTGTGAATCCACTTGTTGGTTGGCACTTATTCAGCACATAGATTATTCGTATTGAATTAGATGAGGATTGAAAGACGTGGTGGGTCTCATTTACTTCATTGATAGTTTCACTTCTTTTGCCATCCATAGTTTCGTTTAACGAAACACACATATTGTTGGTGCCGTTCCTTCCCGATATCTTCGTAAAGTTGAGTTGTATGTACTTCTGATTGGGTGCAGAAATGTTGTATATACACTTGTCATAGCCCTGCCTTGTTAAGTTCGTGGAATTCACCGAGATCGGCTGATCGTCACTGGAGATGGTGTATTTACACTCAGCTGAAAACAAAAAGTCAGATTTGAAATCTATCCAAACATCTCAAAGTCATCCAATATGGCAAGACTGACATACCCGATACTCTTCATACTACTCAGACATTATGCATTCTTGAAAAAAATAATAATTTGATTCTAAGAAAATGATGCTTTGAAAACAGAACAATTATCCTCTTACACATCAGTTCACTTAGGTTATCGCAGGTGTCGAGATTTCCATTAGACACTGGTTTTATACATAAGTCTTCTAACCAAGTATCCTTTGTTCCACAGGTATGGTGATGAGCAGCTAAAACTGCATAGTTGTTAACAGTCAGGTAATAAATTATTACCTGACTTGTTAACTAACTATACAGTTAATTGCATAGTTGTTGAGTGAGGTAAAAACTGCATTGTTGTGAACAAGTCAGGTAAATACAGTATACTTGTCAACAAGTCAGATAATAACTGCATAGTTGTTAAGTTAGGAAAATATTGAATAGTTGACAAGTAAGGTAAATACTGCATAGCTGTTAAGTCAGATAATAACTGCATAGTTGTTGAGTCAGACAATAACTGCATAGTTGTCAACAAGTCAGACTTGACAAGCCAGATAAATAGAGCATAGTTATCAACAAGTCAGGTAAATACTGCATAGTTGACAAGTGGAATACTGCAAGTTACTGCATAGTTGACAAGTGGGGTAACTGCTGCATAGTTGACAAGTGGAGTAAATACTGCATAGTTGACAAGTGGATTAAATTAACTGCATGACAAGTTGACAAGTGGAGTAAATACTGCATAGTTGACAATAGTTGGGTAAAACTGCTGCATAGTTGACAAGTGATGTAAGGGGTAAGGCAAAATACTGCATAGTTGACAAGTGGAGTAAATACTGCATAGTTGACAAGTGGAGTAAATACTGCATAGTTGACAAGTGGAGTAAATGCTGCATAGTTGACAAGTTGACAAGTGGAGTAAATGCTGCATAGTTGACAAGTGGGGTAAATGCTGCATAGTTGACAAGTGGAGTAAATGCTGCATAGTTGACAAGTGGAGTAAATACTGCATAGTTGACAAGTGGGAGTAAATACTGCATAGTTGACAAAGTGGGTAAATACTGTAACTACTGCATAGTTGACAAGTGGGGTAAATACTGCATAGTTGACAAGTGGGGTAAATACTGCATAGTTGACAAGTGGAGGTAAATACTGCATAGTTGACAAGTGGAGTAAATACTGCATAGTTGACAAGTGGGGTAAATACTGCATAGTTGACAAGTGGGTAAATACTGCATAGTTGACAAGTGGGGTAAATACTGCATAGTTGACAAGTGGGGTAAATACTGCATAGTGGGGACAAGTGGGGTAAATACTGCATAGTTGACAAGTGGGGTAAAACTGCATAGGTGGACAAGTCAGGTAAATACTGCATAGTTGACAAGTAGTTGACAAGGTAAATACTGCATAGTTGACAAGTGGGGTAAATACTGCATAGTTGACAAGTGGGGTAAATACTGCATAGTTGACAAGTGGGGTAAATACTGCATAGTTGACAAGTGGGGTAAATACTGCATAGTTGACAAGTGGGGTAAATACTGCATAGTTGACAAGTGGGGTAAATACTGCATAGTTGACAAGTGGAGTAAAACTGCATAGTCGACAAGTGGGGTAAATACTGCATAGTTGACAAGTGGGGTAAATACTGCATAGTTGACAAGTGGGGTAAATACTGCATAGTTGACAAGTGGGGTAAATACTGCATAGTTGACAAGTGGGGTAAATACTGCATAGTTGACAAGTGGGGTAAATACTGCATAGTTGACAAGTGGGGTAAATACTGCATAGTTGACAAGTGGGGTAAATACTGCATAGTTTCATCAAGAAATAAAGATACTGGTCTCTGTTGTGGCATCCTTCACAACCACTACATGATTACAAACTGCCACATGAAAGTGTGAATACGCATCTGTTTGCGCATGCACATGATTGTGTGTGTGCGTGTGCATGAGTTGTAAGATGCTCTCTGAGCAGAGCCACTGTCCTCTACACCAGCACATGATGAATCAACCCAAGTGTGCCAGCCTGACCATCCAATACATTCAGCCGCCTTTTGTAGAACTTTCTGGGGACCAATGGAATGGTCCTTACTAACCTTGGAACATAATCGGGGACAAATAGAGATTCTAACCCATGATCATGTGTGTCTGTTGTCCCCAAGGAACCATCTCTGCACCATGCTGTGCCATGGGTGACCGGGCCCCACATGTCCCTACACGAAGGCCGCTAGAGGTAGGCTAACCATGTGTACCATCTCTGTAAATTTCATAAACATTGCATTCCAACAAGAAAGAACCCCTCTCTCAAATTATCCAGACTCACATTTCCAAAGAGTCAACAAACGCCTGTGACTGACAAAATGGTCTGAAATGGCTCACACAGCTTGTGACATTTGAGATTAGCTCTTTTTTCGTCCTGTTTTCCCCAGCTCAACGACAATCACACCGGAAATACGAGCATATCAGAGTCACAGATGCTGCAGGAAACAGCAGACGACGGCCCTTACATTACACGACAGGTCAGCATAACCATCCACATAACACTCCACAACTTGGTACAATCAGCACTCCAGATTGAGGACACTGGACGTCCGTCAGATTCCCCATTAACTGCTAGTTTGTTTGTTTGGTGTTTAACGCTACACACGCCACATCATGATAACAATGAACAAAGTTGCAGAGTCTAACCATCCAATCCCCTCGGTGACCTCTCACAGCCATAACAGGTTACCCAACTGTCTGGTCCAGACGCAATTATTTACAGACTGCCGTCATACAGCTGGAATATTGCAAAGTGCATCATTAAACAACAAACAAACAAACCAGGCAACTATTCTATACCAGAAACCTACAGGGAGCCATTGTCTGCGTTGTAACAAACAGGATCCATACCACCAGATAGGTGGGTCACTTGTTGTTATTAAGGGTCATTGACCGAGGCCCACGGTGATCACAAGCACTGGCAACTACAAACCTTTATTTACATATTCAAATAAAATAGCGGAAGACTAACAACCGACAGACAAGAGCATGAGTGTAACATCAGATGCAGGTTCTACAACCATGATAGATACACAAATTCAAATACTTGAGATGATTGCGGGAACACCTGCCCAGATTTTAGCTGACCCATGGGTAAGTTCTGTGCTGGTTGTGCTGGTTCTGCAGCTATCTTCAGGCTAGACTTGTGTTAGGCATTCCAATGTAATTTAATTACGACAATTTGCTGAGGAGGTCATTTGTCTGGAGATATTTTTACACTTGCCAAGACCTAACTGTTGTGTTAAGCTATTAGTCTACAGTCTTTTTTGTCATCTAATTATATCCATGTCCGAAAATGCCCAGACAAGGATCAATAGCAACTGAAAGGCTCGACTGACTTTTAATTGCGTCTCAATCTGCTAAGAAACGTGGGTGGAGAACTTATGCTGCAACAACATATCAAAACAACGTCGGAAATACGAACAGGCTCCTTGTGAAAACAGGGTAACGAAGAATACCTACTGAAATGTTAGATTTCAAAATACCACTTCCAAGGTCGTTCAGAATGTTTGCTGCCATTATAAACGGACAAACTTTAAGGGATCTCTAATACAATTGTTACACTCAGTATTTGGTGCTCGCAAATGAAAGTCTCTTCAGCTGGCTACATAGACACTCAGCCAAGACCAATGACAACTTTCATAACTCAGCTCGATAGTTTTCAAAGGGCAAATGAAATACATGAATAATTGAAACCTGCTGACCTCACACTTCAGTCTAGGTTTCTTCTCCTTAATAGGTAATGACAAGAGTAAGTTCTTCAGTTTCTACATAACTCTCAACCAAATCTATATTTGGGAAACAGTGTTTGTTGAACAGCCTGCTCAGCAATATTCAACCTTTGTGAAGGCAGTCTGTAAATTATAGTCTGAACCACACAATCCAGTGATTGCAATCTGTATTGATCTGTGCAAGTCACCGAGTCTGACCACCTAAACCTGCTTGTTGCTGCTTACGACAATCACAGGTTGCTGAAGATCAGTTATAACCTTGATCTTCATGGATAGTCCAATTTGGTTCCACTTTTAGGGAGCTAGGGACACATTTCATTGTTGGAACCATAAGTCATGTAGGTTATATCAGTGAGTGAGTGAGTGAGCAGAGCTACAGATAAATGTTTGGGTCATTGAGTTATGTACTCGTTCGTGTTCATCTCAATTGGGTATCCTAATTTTCCTTTGAGTAAACAAATAAACTGTACCCACATCAATCAAACTCAATTGGCTATTTTGCCATTTTCCATTAATTGTAATAATATAATAAAGTTTAAATGTTGGTCTACATCTTTGTTATTTATATTTGATCAGTAACATGAGAAACGATAAGAAAGACTGCAAGTTGTCAAGTTCATGTGCTGAAATAGAACCTCTCAATATGCCTCAGTAACCTGAGAGCCAAGATTTGATCTTTAGTGTGTACGCATGTAAGATCAAATTTATTGAGTATTTACAAAAATTCAAGTGGACTTGTACGCAACAGATTTAATATGAACTGAGTTTTCACAAAAACATTTGCGTTATTTATGCAGCTACGCAGCTTATCTGTACCTCTGAGTGAGTGAGTTTAGCTTACGTCACACTCAGCAATATTCCAGCTATATGGCGGCAGTCTGTAAATAATTGAGTCTAGACCCGACAATCCAGTGATCAGCAACATGAGCATCAATCTTCGCCATTGGGACACTATGACATGTGTCAAACGATGACATCAGTTCTAACCCTGACCTTCATGAGTAGGTCATATCAAAACTGATCATAATCTTAAGCTAACAAATGTATATGAGTAAGAGGAAAGTGTAAAAAATCCCACAGCTTAATCACGTAACACCATGAATAACCAATTCTGGAACAGGCAACCAGTGACAAAAGGAATGAGCCTGACCATAACATCCTGCATGAGGTAAAATGACCTTGACTCATTCGGA